ACAATATTTATTATTATTATATATAATAATATTTTATATTATAATTATACATATTTATTTAAAAATTTAAAATTCACTTTTATATGATCTCTACGCATTAATTTATAAAAGAACTATTAATATTGCATAATGCATATAAAATCTGTATATAAAATAACTTTTGTTTGAAAAATTTGTTCAAAAAATTTATCATTCATATTTTTTCAGATATTTTATACCCAGAAAAAAACCAAATATATTATAATATACATTTATAGATAAAAATTTACAATATATATATAAACATTTAGATAAATATTTTTCTAATAGAATAACAAATACTTTAAAAAAAATAATTATTATGTAAATAATTTTTGCTATTATTCAAATAATTTAATAAAATCATATTACAATATTATAATCAAATACTGTAATATTAAACAGAAAATTATTTAAAGAAATGGAATTTTTACATTAATATTAAGAAATTTTTATATTAAATATTTTATTGAAAATAATAAATAATGAATTAAATTTTTAAAATAACAATGATTTTTAAATTAAAACAATAAATTAATTAAAAATTAATTATAAAATAATTATCAATAATTTACAATTTTTTTACAATTTGCATAATTTTTCTTATTTATGTTAAACTATATTACATTTTTATATTCTATGTTATTTATATAAATATTTATGTATATATATATATATATATATTACCTTATTTTCTAATTTATTTATTATTTTCATATTATAGTTAAATATAGATAAAAATATATGCATGACATAAATATATGATATAGATATACGTATATATATCATGCGCATAAACATTGAAGTTGCTAAATAATTGCTTCAATTGACGATAGTTTTACAATTCTATACATTTAATTTAATCAAATTATCCAATTATGAAATAGAATCAAAATGATACTTTATACTGTTATGTAGAAGCCAGATCTTAAACATTACTTGAATCTGGTCTGACCTTTCTCGTTTTATTAACTACGTCAGTTCAGGTATGCTCTATCATCTCAAGCTTGGAGTCTCATAAAGATACAGATAGAAGCGCATACCTACGGGGTCCTTTCAGATCAGCTGTGTCTAGAAATTATGCAAAGTAATCTGCTATGTGCAATCCTGAATCACTTGAACTTTTTTCAACAGCAGCAGTTTTTCTAAAATTTTATTTACACATATAAATTTTTATTTTCATTTTCTGATTTTCTTTGATCTATTTGATATTAATAAATGAATAAATTATTGTTTTACAGTATTGATAATTTATCATTGTTATTTGAACCATTGCTTTTTAAATAAATTTAATATTTATTGAATGATTAGTTATCATTTTAATTATTTTCAAATTTTTGTTTAAATCTATGAATTATAGATTTTTAAATATATTTTAAAAGAAAATAAAAATGTATGTACTAGTATGTTAAATATTTATTTGTTAAATAAAATTTTTATAAAGTGATCAAATAAAAAATGATTTCTATTTCATAAGTTCTTATTTTGTTGTGTTTTGTTTAAATGTATGTAAATAAATAAATATATATATATATATGTCAATTAGAATATGGATTCAACATTCAATAATGTATTTTATTTATTAATATTTAAATAAAACAAAAATATTTAAAAATATATTAATTATATATTATATATTATATATTATATATTATATATTATATATTATATATATTATATATTATATTATATATTATATATTAATTATATTACTATTCTGTTACTATATATATTTCATATGCAAAATGATTCATTTTAATTTATAGATTTCTCGAAATTATTTTCTAACTTGTCAAAAGTATTTTAAACAATTTTTTTTTCTTTTTGCTTTTTCGAGAAAGAAGTTTTGTAAATATTATATATATATATATATATATATATATATATATATACATAATATACGCATAAAAATATATATAAAAGAGAAAGAGAAAGAGTCAAATTCGATTTTTTATATCAATATATAATATTAAACTTATATCAATATATTATTAATGTAAGAATTATTATAACATTTAAATATAAATTAAAATATATGAAGGAAGATACTTTTATGTTTGTTTTTGTTATTTTTTATATGTTAAATTTTATAAAATTAAAGTTGAAATATGTCCTAAACAATGGAATATTATAATGTTTCAATATAAATAGCTTAATAAATATTCAATATAATGACTTAAATAATTTTTATAAAAATAGCTAACTATATTAATTTCATTATATGATTCCGTTTAAAAAAGTGAATTTACATTAAATAACTTATCTCAAAATAAAAATCATTTAAAAAATTTTGCAAATTTTGATTCAATTTGAAAAGTAATAAATTAATAAATAATAACATTTATAAAGTAAGTTCTTATATATATCTTATATATTAACAAACTTTTAATTTAAATTAATTATTTCAATGTTAGAAATATAAATTTTAAGATTATACAAATGTTTTGAATAAACTTATAAAATAATTTTTATTTTATAAAATACTGTATACTTTTATTATTTATTTGTTATTAACATAATTTGGCATGATTATTTTTATTTATCAGTCAATAGATATAATTATTTATCATAAATATATATTACAAATATAATATATATATACATAAATATAATATAATATATACAAATATAATATAAATATATTAAACATAAATATTTATGATAAATATATATTACAAATATAAATTATAATATAGAATATGGTATATTAAAAATTAATATTATAAAAGATAAATATCGAGTTCAATTATAAATATTATAATAAATTTAAATATTGTGATAAAAAATATTAAAACAAGAAACATTCATAAGCATTCATATTATTGAATAATTATATCAATTTATATCTATATTAATATCTATATTAGTTTTTCAAATTTAAAATTCAAAGTTATCATATGATACAATGATTTAAATGAAAAAAATTTAATGAAAAGTAAAAATTACAACCCAACAATTACAAATACCATAATACATATTTTCCAATATTTCTATATTAATATATTAATATTCCAATTAATATTATATTCATTTCATAATAGCATTCGTTCATTTTCTTTGAAGCGCCTTAGTGCCTTATTATATTAGATACCTTAATCTAATTAGATGCTCTCTATTTATCTTATTAGGATAATTTCTTGTTTGAAACTTAATTTTTATTCATAGCAAAAAATTAATAAAATTTGAATATTTGTAAGAAAAATTATATATTTAAATATAAAAATTGCATATTCATATTTATGCAACTTATAAATATATAAAATATATTTAATTTTCCATACAGTATGTTTTTCTTAAATGTCTATACATGATTATTTCTTAAATATTAGATTCAAAAAAATGTTTTAAATCAAAATTATAATATAATATAAAAATAAATATAAGATAAATCATGATAATTTTGAGATAATGTTGAGATAATGACAATTCCAATTATTTTTAATTTTTACAATTCTATATTTTTTATTGCACATTTTTATTAATTAATATTTAAAAAATTATATACACATGTATATAGCCTTTTTCATAGGCTATTATTGAATTATTGACTTTCAAAGTTTATATATTACCAACATTAACATTATTCAATTTACCAAAATTGCTCAGTATATATATGTGTGCGTGCATGTGCTTTAATATAATGTAATCTAAATAGCCTTAATTATTCGTTTTTTGAAAGAATTAAAATATATACTCGCTTATATTTATAAAAATATTTATTATGAAGTAACAATTAAAATAATATTAGATAATGGAAAAATTAAAATGATATTAAATTATTTAAATTATTTCAATTGTATTTATACATTTTGTTACATGTTAATATAAAAAAAATTTGTATGTAAAAAATAGTATTTTGCTTTTTTTATTAATTTTCAAATACAATAAAATGCAATTCGTCAGTATATATATATTATATTTATATCATTCATTACTTGTTTTTTTTTATTATCATTTATTTTTAATTGGGAAATCTTATGTTCTAAATATGTGAAAATAGAAAAAATTTTACAATATTTTATAAATAATAAAAATATTATGATAATAATAATTTTATAAATAATCTATTAGTCTAATCTATTATTATCTATATGTATCTATATTTAAAAAGTAAAGTTAATAACTTTTTGTTAATCTTATAATCTCAGTCTAAAATAATTTTTTACAATCTTTTTTATTTGTTTTATTATTATTAAATTATTAATGAAATAAAAATATAAAATATAATATTTTAAATAAAATATTTATTGTTTTGAAAAATTTATATTATATTTTTTATTATTTAAATTTAAAACATATATATATAATATAAATATACATATTATGTTTACTTATATTTTATTTTACTATAACATAAGTTCTTATATACATATTTCAACAAAATATTAATTCTAGAAACATATAATATATCATATAAATTATTATTTTGAGATATAAAATTATTTATTTATTTTAATAAAATTAAAAATAATTAACAAAACTAAATTATTTAAAAAGAAATTTATTTAATTTATATACACATAAATCAAATAAAACATAAAGTAATGAAATATTTAATTTAAAAATTGTATATATATCCAAACTTGTATTTTGTTGTTAATTTTTAATAAAATATTTAAATTTTATAAATAATAAATTAAGTGATAAATTACTTTAAAAGTATTAATAAATAATCACTAAAATTCTATAAAATATACATGTCTTCAATTGCACAATTATTTATAAGTATTTCGATAAACTCAGTAAATAATGAACAAGTAGCTACCGACCGACGCTTGTTTCTGAAAGATTTGCGTGAAGAAACATTAATTCTAGCATGTAAGATGTTGGAGAACAAAACTGAGGTGGGGCAGAATTGTGAGGGCGAAAAGTTATGAGGAGAACGGTTAGATATATGAACAGGGAATGGGAAGGGAAGACTCTTCTTGAGCGTCTTCATATAAATGCTGGCAGTATTATACTCACGGTACTGCAGATTCGATCTTGTTCAAATCTACGCGCGATATTCAGCAACCATCATCATGCAGCGCATAGTGAGTGATTATAAATGTATTAACATATAAGTGATTCAAAATTAAAATAAACACGATTTTTCTCATTTAATTGATATATTCTAAATATATTAATACTTCATTCTTATATTTTGTACTATTAATATCATTAATATTCTAATATTTAAAGAAATCAAAAATATAAGTTCGTAGATAATTTAGTTACTTAAATAAGCAAATTAATCAATTAATAAAATATTACATTTTATATTTTTTTTATATTAACCTTTGGTTAATTATTATTTGATCTTATATTTTTCACATTTCTTAATATTTATTTTATTTTCAAGAAATATTTTCCATATATATATCCTTTTTAAAAAAATATTTTTCATAATTTTAAATTTTACTATATAAATATATTAATCTAAAATATATTAATTTATATAAATATATTAAATCTATTACAAATATCATATATTTATTCTAAAAGTTATTTTAAATTGTATATTATATAAATTGTTAGTATATTTGTATCTAATCGACTTTAGAAGTTGGTATAAAAAATAAATAAATACAAAAGTTAATATAAAAAATATTGATTAAGATTTATTTACAAGCAATTGAAGTTTATAATAATAAACTTATAATAATAAACTATAATAATGAAATAAGAAACAAATAAAAGTAAATTCGTTTTATTTTTATTATTATTTCTCTTTGTCTTTACTTCGCTAATACAAATTTGTTTAATACTTAATAAATAAGCCTGAATTAACATTTTTCTATTTCCTTTTTTTTAAAGATCTTAAAATCGATTCTTTGAAAATGTTATACAAATATTAACATCCTATATAAATTTAAAAGTTAGAAATATAATAGAAATATAATATATAGAAATAATATATATAATATAATAATATATAGTTATAGCATATAATATATATAAATTATTATACTCATATCTTAATTTCGCACAAATCTATTTTTATTAATATAAAATATAATTATATTAATATAATATAAAATATATAATTAGTAAACAATACTTGTAATAAAAATTATAATATTTATAAAATTTTAATATATTGAAATTAATTAAAATGGCTAAAATTTCAGTTATTGGTGTTCAGTTTATTTGGCTGTGCTCTTGGACAATATGGTGCATTTCATGGTTTTCCAACACAAAATGCTTATCGATCAACACCTAAACCAATTTATCAACAACCAACAATACAAGCGTTAGTAGTATATATCCCAAGTATACATCCCAGTATAAGTATATATTTATATACATACTATATATTTTATTATATACAATAAAAACAGTTAAATACTATTTTTCTAATTTGATAATAACAATTGTTTTATAATAACTTTTGGTCAAATTCAAGAATTCTTTAAATTTAGAACATGCCAGTCATTCTAAACTTTTAACTAATTTGAGATGTCAATATTTACCTAAGAACTCAATTTTATCGGATAATATTCTTTTATTATTATACTCTGAAGTTAAGAATAAAAAAATATATATATCCATTTTATATGTAATCAGTTGAAATAAATAATAAATGATTATCTATTTATAAGAATTCTTAAATAAATAATCACTATTATTCAAATTATTAGAAATGAAATATTGTGAACATAATATAATAAAATAAATTATATGTAAGTAACAATTAAGAATTAACATTGCAAGTATGCATTATCGAAATATTGTTTGATAATTTTTTCTTTCTAGCTTTTTATGTATTTTATATTTCTTATAAAAATATATTATTAAATCATAAATCAATCTTAAAAGTATTTGAATTTTATATAATAGAATATTTATTCTTTTTAGTACTCCTGGAAGATTTATAGCTATACGTAGTCAACAAAAAGATACATATCCAGATGGAACTTATACATTTAGCTATGATACCGAAAACGGAATTTCAGTTGCTGAAAGCGGAAGACCTCAAGGTGCTCCACCAACACAAACCGAGGTAAATTTTTTCATTATTTATTTAATAAATTCTTTCTTTATTTTATTATTAATATAATTTCTTCAATATAATTTCATACTACAAATCACATTTTCTATTTATCGAATAAAATTTTTTATATTCAAATAAAGCATGGAACAAGTAATAATGCTTTCGCAGTATAAAATTTATTATTATATAAATTATTATTTCATTAACGTGTTCTTACTTTAAACTATATTTATCATCATTATAATTATGTCATAAGATTTTAACACAAATTACATTAAATAACTTTTAAAAGTGTTAAATTATTTTATTAATTATATAATTTTATATTTTTACTTATAAATTATATTATATATTATAAAATATATTATTATAATTATATATTATATATTATAAAATTATTAAGTTATTAAATTATTACGATAAATTAAATTATTTTTAAAATTGTTTGTATTATTTTATATCCCAATATTAAATGAATTTTTAATGAATATTTAAATATTCATATCTATAATATAGATATAGTATAGTTATATAGTATTTAGAATTTTAGTCCCAAATATATTATTTTATAGATTGTTCAAGGAAGATATTCCTATACTGCACCGGATGGTACTCCTATTAATTTGGAATATACAGCAGATGAAAATGGTTTCCATCCTCAAGGTGCACATTTACCAACTCCTCCTCCTATTCCAGAAGCAATTAGACGAGCACTTGCAGCTAATCCACCTGGACCTGATGATTCAGATTATAGACAATCATATAATCCAAATCTTTACCGAAGATATTAAATAAAATATTAATTAATTAAATGATTTTAAGAATTTCCAAGCTTGCACTTAATCTATATTGCCGTATAATCCGACCAAATATGTACATATGTATATCATACATAATAGAAATCAAGATTCAACATAATATAACAGTCATTATATAATAGATGAATAAATATTTTTTATTTTTTCTCACTTTATTTAAGTCCCTCTATATTCTTTCCTTTATTTAAAAAGATATTTTTTACAAATTATTTTAGGATATAATAATATCTATCTTTAATTTTATTTACTATTTAAATCTATTTGAATATATTTAGATAATATTATTTATAATATTATTTACGCAATATATAAATTTATGTAATCCTATAAGAATATTTGATTATTATAACTTCATATAGTTATCACATAACTTGTAACAATAAATGATCTTTCTAACATGATAATTCATCATATTTTAGATATAAACATGCATGTTGTATCAGAAATGCATATGTTATATTAGAAATGGGGATATTCAAAAAATGTATTTAATAAAATAAAAATATTTGTGCTAATTAATTATGATTTTAAATTTATATTTTAAAAAATTTATATTTTATTATAATATAAATATTCTAATATTTATAAATAATAGATATATATTTTTTCTCTTATTTAAAAAAATATACATATATACTTCTGGAAATTTTTTCCAGAATATAATTCTTTTATTATAAATAAATAAAGAATATAATTCTTTTATTATAAATAATTATTTCTCTATTATTACTTATTTTATTATTAATTATTTCTCTATTTCTATTGCACAAATCAGTTATATTTCTATTAAAAAATTTGATAAGAGAATTTATAGAGAAAGAGAAAGAAAAAAGAGAGAGTACAGTACAATATCTAAAATTTTTCACTTTTCGATATATTAAAAAAAGCATAATAGAAATAAATGTGTAATTATTCATTTTTATTTTTATATCCTTGTTTTAAAATATCTTTGAATAATAATAATTTTAAAAATAATAATTAATATATTTAAAATATATAAGTGTTAGTTAAATTATAATTTTATATAATAGTATTATAATTATAATAATATTTGCATTTTCAATTATTAAAATATTATATATATTAAAAATATATATATTAATATATATATATTAAAAATATTTTTTTAATTATTTTTTATCAAAAGATTGAATTAATAATTAATTATTATATATAAACAAATATATAGATTATAAATTATTATTAAAATTAAATCAATGAACATATGTATGAAATTTTAACAAATATGAAAACTTATTTACTTATATTTGTATTTATAAATAAACAATTTGTTTTTGTTAAAAATATATATTTTCTATCAACAATTTTTAATTATCAATTATCAAAATTTTTTAAATAAAATTATTTAATAAATTAAATAAAATTAAATAAAATTAAATAAAATTAAAATTTTTTTAATAAAATTAAAGATAGATATAATTATATCCTAAAATAATTTGTAAAAAATATTATTTTATTTAAAAATTTTTAAATTTTTAATTTTATAAAGTTAAAATAAATTATGCGATCTAATAAAAATATTTTGTTAAAGTAAATAAAATTAAATGAAATTATTGATAATAAAAGCAAATTACTAACGTAATCTTGTAATTTGATAATATTATGATTTATGTTAAATCAAAATTAATTGAAATTGATTTCTAAAAATAAATTTTCTTACATTAAATAAATACATTAATTAAATATACATTTGTAATAGATCACAGTGATGACCCATAACGTAATTTATGAATTCCTTAATACTACGCGAAAGCATGTTAGTTGAACTTCAATTGCACCATGCCTCTAACTAATATGTAAGAAATGCAGTAAAAGAGGGCTGGGATGAGTACAGGTGAAAGTGTTCTATTGGATCTTTCATTATCTTACACTTTTCTGCTCATCATTCCGGTCAAGGACTAATACGATGCAACTTGGGCGGTTCCTGCACTTCCTTTGAGACGTTCATCCAACTGTATCACTAAAAATCGTATGCAAAGCATGTTTATAATATATATTGGATAAATTATAATTATTACTATTAGATTGAAAATATCTAAAATAAAAAATATAATTATTATATAATAATATTATATAATATATTATATAATTAATATTATATATTATAATTATATATATATATACAGTAGTAAAAGAATTTGTTTCTTTCAGATTTAATATGAAAAAGATAGTTTCTATGAAATTAATTTTTAAAATGCTACAAAAGTTTCAGTGTTACAATTGTTTATTGTTTTAAAAAGATTTTATCATATTTTTTCAGTTTTTAAATGTTATTTTTGTCAATTAAATGTTATCGTCAATTATTTTTATTTATAATTACATATTCTATATTATAAATTTATTAATATTTTAAAATAAATATGTAAAATAATATTAGTAATATAAATGAATATATTAAGAAAATTTGCGAAATGATATTATTTTTTAATATATTCTAAATATCCGAATTTTTCTATCTAAAATTATTTTGTACACATACACAAAACATTGATCAGATTTGCTGAATATAAAAATTAAATTATTATTTATAAAAAAAAAATTACTTATAAAATCAAATGATGAAAATGATAATTAATTTAAGTTCATGATATTTTAAAAAATTCTTAATCAAATTTAAATTTTAAAAATTTAAATATTATTATAAAAAGTAACTTTTATTCGTTATTATAAATCATCATTCTTTATACTAAATATGTAAAGAGTATTTTATAAAATATTATTTTTTATAAATATATTAAATTTTCTTTTTATTAACAATGAAAATGTTCACATCTTATTTATAATGCAACAATTATTTTTTTTTATATATAATTATTTTATATTTATTAAACAATTTTTATATAAAATATTTTTTTCCATTTAAATTGAATCATGTTATCAATATATATTTATTTGACAGATATTCAAATTATTGATTATATATAAAAATATTTCAAATTTGAATAGTTTCAGCAGACGTATAATATAATTGATTTTTTAATATATATATATGAAGAACAATTTTGTTTTTTCTAATTGAATCACATATTTTTTATTACATTATTGAATGCAATATATCCTAAAAAATTACTGAGGTTTTTAAAACTTAAAATTATGAATTAAATACATATTTTGATTTAAATATTGTATAAAATATAATATATCTTTTTAAAGTCAATATTCAAATGTTCTTCAGATTAGATAGAGAGATTTATTATATTTCTAAATGATCAAACATGTATCTTTGCGTAGAAAGATTTTTTGATATTCCTGAATAATTTTCTGTTTTAAATTATTAGACATTATACATTTTTCTACATATACTTTATTTTTTAAATATATTTTTTTTTAATATTTAATGAAAATTGAATAGAACCATCTCTTTCTATTCAATTTTCCAATTCCTGATTTAGATACAAATTATATGTCGAATATTATTTATATTTCAATAATTATACTTGTATTTATTTCATACAAAATAATATGATATCGAAACAGTGATACTTATAAATATTTTGATGTTCAAAAGAATCGAACATGTAATAATTGAATTTTAAAAATCAAAATTGTATATAATAGATTTTAAATTATAAAATAATTAGAATATATAGAATATAATTAATTTTAAAAATAATAAAAAAAATGATTAAAAAGAAAATTTTCGATAAGTTATTCATTATCATTATTTTCAAAATTTCGAACCTATTTAATCATAGTTTTAATATATTTAATAATATTATTTTTGTCTTCTAAAATATGTTATAAAAGATTCAAATTTATCTTGCATAAATTCGAGCATATTTAAAAATACTTAAATATTTTTATTTTTCTAATAACTATGTAAAAAATTTCAATTCAATCAAAGTTCGAATTTAATTATTGATTAATAGTTATTAACACTTTCAAAATTTTATCATTATTGCTTAATGAATTTATGTAACATTCTTTTTTTGCTATAGGTTATTAATATCTATATATTAATTTCTATAAATTATATAATTATAATATCTATAAATTTAAAGTTTCTTTCTGTAATATTTTTTAAATATTTATCCGTTGATTATGATATTTATCCATTGTAATTATATACACACAAATACACACACACACACACACACACACACATATATATATATATATATATTGTAATAAAATTATTATTTATTAGCTTTTTAATTTTAATTTATAAAATTAAAATAAAAAAAAATAATTTGAAATAGAAGTCTTAAGAGGCTCAAAATTTATTTTCTTTAAAAAGATTTTTTTTGATTCAAAAACTTCTATACACATATTTGATGATTTTGAAATAAATAGTCAATCGTGTTTTATTAGAAGATATCCTCGTCTTGTATATTATTATATTATTAAATTCTTTAAAAATAATATTCCTTTTTTTTACAAACAATATAATTGGATCATCAATAATTAAAGATTCTAAATTTTCTAAATAATATATCATGATCATAATAATATATCATACATCACACATAATAAACATTTTACATCATTTCGCATCGCTTTGAATGGTCTAATCAAATTAATTAAAATAATAATTAAAATAATTTGATAAAAGTTAACAGTATTCCAAAAGATGAATTTGGAATATCAAATATTGTTTGATTTCAAATGAGCATAATTTCAAAATTAATACATGGATTATAAAAATTTAAACTTATATATGTAATATATACATATATTACATATAATAATAATAATTATTATCATTATTATTATTATTATTATTATTATTACGTAAAGAAAGTAATTAATATTAAAATTTATAATATTTATTTATATTATATATAAACATATTGTATTTAGCATAAAAATATTATTCAAACTGTTAAATAATGTGAAAATTAAAATAAAATATTATAATGTAAATATAATATAATATTTCATGAAATATATTCGTTATTATATTTTGTTATAAATATATTCGTTCGTATATTCGTTATTATATTTTAAAACAAGATAGAATGCATTAAATACAAAGAATTAATATTATATTTTATTCTTTTCTTTTTCAGATGACATTTCTTTAGATAATATAAAATATTGATTAATTGAAGAAAATATAATACTATACAGATATATATTCAAATAAGATATTTGATGTTGAATATCAAAATTCGAACTAATATGCTACAATATGTGAACAACACTTCTACACGTTGATTTATTTTATACCTATAAATATGTTCAACAATTAATATAATATAAATTCAATTTTTAATTTTTTTTAATAATGTCTATATGATTATTTTTGTAAATATTATAAATGAAAAAAATGTTTATGAAAATTAACATCGAAGAAAATATATCATAATAATTATTTGACCTTGAAATAATGTTGAAGAATTCTGTAAAAGTCAATTTTTTAAATTAATCAAATTTTTAGATGGAATTATATATTTTTTATTGAATATTTTTATATCCATTTTTTTTCTTTTTAAAAACGTATTTAAAACATTACATATATTTTTCATAAATCATTTTTGAATTATTAATTTTTAATGTTTACACATTATATGGTTATCGACATTAGTGTTATCCAATATACACTGCAAGCAAATTACTCAGTCGAATTTTACATTAACTAAAAGACTTCATTTTGTATATGTGAGCTTAATGTGGTATGGTGTAATCTAAGTATAGCTATTATTTAATGTATTCTTCACTATTAAGAGTAATATTTCTTTAATATATGTTGAAATTATTTTTCTATCTTCTTTAACATCTCAAGTATTATTTTTATATATTATTATTAATTTTATTATGTGTTAATATAATTCTATTTTAATTGAAATTGTATTATGTATCTTCATAGGAAAAAATATATAGTTAATTTGCAAATTTTGATGATCATATTAGCCAAAATATTCAATCTTATTATGAAAAATATTATTTCATATATAATCAGTTTTTCATTAATAACATGTAATTTTTAAAACAACATATTTCTTTTTTCTTGTAATTTCATAAAATCATTGTAATATACAAAATCTAACTGAACAATTTTTTTTTGAATTCTTGTTTTATATATATATATATATATATTATTATTATATATATATATAATTAATGTCGACAGCAACTTTCTCAGTTAATGAAACTCTGAAAATTAATAATTCAATTATGGCTTTTAAAAATAATCAATTAATTATCTGAATAATTATTCAAAATTTTTGTATAAAATTAAATTTAATTTATAATTACTCGAATGTTAATTATTAGCTGAATCATTAAGTTTATTAATTATTTTAATGCAGTTTTTTTATTATTAACTTAACGAAACGATAGTTATTCTAATAAAATAATTCATTAAAATAATTTTATTCGAAATTTTAATTAATTAATTTATAAATTAATAATATTAGTAAAATGGCAAATTTGTAATATAAATTTTTCATAATTTAATAATTTTATGTCAAATAACATAATTGAATGATAATTGTAATATTTATTGATAAATTTTAATTTATTTTATTATCAAATTTATTATTCTTATGCAATTTATGAAGACTAATAATTTATAATTTACTTTATATCTTATAAAATTTAATATTTCAATAATAATATTTGTTCAATTAGTTAAAAGTACTTGAAATAAAATCTAACTAAATATGAACAAAAATTTATTTTATAAAAGATATATTGATAATTATGTATAAAAAACAAAGCAATTGATTTATTAATTTTAATAGTCTTTAAATACATCGTCAATTATCATTAATCTGACAATAGTAATTTTATTTATACATACTTTGATTTTTAAACTTAATTTTAGAAATATTAATATTAATATAATTACTATTTTTCAGGTTTTTTAGTTTTTCTTTTACGTTTAATATAATTGAAAATAAAAAATATTTATTAAAAAAATAAATTATATTATTAATGAATGATCTGAATTATTAATTAAAACAAGTGCTAAATATGACATAAATATCTATATAACAATATAGTCTGTATTATAAAATGCAGAAAGTTGTATTTATTTTCATTTATTTATTATAAAATTTAATAATATTTTCAAATTAAATTATATTAACACACATAAAAATTTTCACTCTTCTTATAAATAATAATTATATATCATTTTGAACAAAAATAATAATAAATTAATTGTGTATTATATGTAAAAAAATTTTATAATTTTATACTTCACGTATAATATGAAAATTTTTTGTAAATTATTCAACAATAATAATAATATTAATATATTAATATTTCAAAAAAATTAATATTTCAATATAGTTTATCTTTGTACTTTATTTAATAATAAAATTGTAAATGTTATATGAAATATTAAATGTAATTAATCATAATATATGTTTAAATTAAATTTAAATTCACAAATAATATTACAAATCATAATAAAATATATTTTAAAATTAATTTAAATTTCTTGATATCGTAAAAAATAGTTTTTTTTTTAATATAAAAATATAATTTAATAATACTATAAATATTAAAAATTATAATGCAAAATATTATATGTCAATATAATATGTCACTATAATAATATTAGTACAAACTAATAACAATATAAAATTTTATATATATTATTATAATTCAAATAAATGTAACATTTTTATCTACATATGCAAACATTGCATTGATACAAAAAATAATAGTTTACATTTATTATTATAGAGGTCAGTCAAAAATTTTGTGTTTTCGCTAGTAATGGCAAGTAAAAACCTAACCTTAAATCTGATTTTCATCAATTTCTTTATTTATTGAACAAAATACGTTTGTTTTTAACGCTGAGAAAAACTTAATTAATATAAAAATGCCTGATCATCTAGGAGAAGATATGCGAAAAGTAAAAAGTGAAGAGGGAAAAGAAGAAAAAGAAATAAAGTGTAGGTTTTAATAAATTATTATTTGCCTTTAATTGTCGAGATATAATAGAATTTATTTAAATTTTAGCTTTGGATGAAGGAGATATTGCTCTACTTAAAACTTATGTAAGTAAAACTATATGTAATAATTTTGAAAAAAAAAATAATTTTCTTTAATGATAGATTTAAAAATAATAGATTTGTAATAGATTTAAAAATAAAAATTCTTGGAATTATTTTCTAAAATAAAATTAACATATTTTTTATATAGGGTCAAGGACAATATACAAAAAGTATTAAAGCTGTTGAAGAAGATATACAAACAATAATTAAACGTGTTAATGAATTGACTGGAATTAAAGAGTCTGATACTGGTCTTGCACCACCTGCTTTATGGGATTTAGCTGCAGATAAACAAACTTTACAAAATGAGCAACCATTACAAGTTGCACGTTGTACTAAAATAATTAATGCAAATTCTGATGATCCTAAGTATATTATAAATGTAAAACAATTTGCAAAATTTGTAGTTGATTTAGCAGATTCAGTTGCTCCAACTGACATTGAAGAAGGTATGCGAGTAGGAGTGGATCGTAATAAATATCAGATTCATATTCCACTTCCACCAAAAATTGATCCAACTGTAACAATGATGCAAGTTGAAGAGAAACCTGATGTCACATATAGTGATGTTGGAGGTTGTAAAGAACAAATTGAAAAATTAAGAGAAGTTGTTGAAACACCTTTATTACATGTTAGTATTTTATAAATATTGAATTACAATTTTTATAGAAAAATAGATATAATAATTTCTAATAATATCAAATAATAGAAAAATATGATAATTTATTTATTATAGCCAGAAAAATTTGTTAATTTGGGAATTGAACCACCTAAAGGAGTATTATTATTTGGACCACCAGGTACAGGCAAAACTTTATGTGCTAGAGCTGTAGCTAATAGAACAGATGCTTGTTTTATTCGTGTGATTGGTTCAGAATTGGTTCAAAAATATGTTGGTGAGGTAAATATAACATAATATGACTTTATTATTAAATTATTTATTATTAATTTAGATTTTATTATTAAACTTTATTATTGATTACAAAATAGTATGTATGTAAAAAATTTACATAAAAAAATGAAAAAATCTTTTAGCAAATATAATATAAATTTATAACACAAAAAAATTTATAGCAACATTTTTTAAAATATTTTTATTTATTTTCAATATTTTTTGTTTCTATTAGTAAATTTCCATTTTTGTTAATAGTTTAAAGTTTTTCTTATATATATAATAACTGTTTATATGTAATATATAATTATATATATAATATATATAATATATATATAATATATATATGTATAAATATTTTTAAAAAATTGTTCATTTTGAAAAAAATATATATATATTCAATATGAATTATATATAAATGAATAATATATAATACCTTATTTATTATATTATTATTAATATACATTATTATTATTAATGTACATTATTATTATAATATACATATATAAATTATCTACTTATTTATCTATCTAAATTATAAATTAAATGAATTGTTTTAATCTAATTGTTTTAAAAAATTTTAATGCAATAAAAATTTTTTTTATTTAGATTAGAATTAAACTAGTATATTTTAATTCCTTTATGAACATTTTAAATAATGGGAAAAAATAATATCTTATTTATTATTATTATTATGTTGTTGTTGTTGTTATTATTATTATTATTATTATTATTATGTAATAGGGTGCTCGCATGGTAAGAGAATTATTTGAAATGGCACGTAGTAAAAAAGCTTGTTTAATATTTTTTGATGAAATTGATGCTATTGGAGGAGCTCGATTTGATGATGGAGCTGGTGGTGATAATGAAGTACAACGTACTATGCTTGAACTTATTAATCAATTAGATGGGTAAAAGATATTTTTTTCTTCTTATATATTCTAATTAATTTTTATTAACTTTAAGTTTATTAGTAATTAATAATACAAATAATAATATTATTACATTTATTTGATTTTAACTATTTCAGTTTTGATCCACGAGGTAATATTAAGGTATTAATGGCAACAAATAGACCAGATACATTAGATCCAGCATTGATGCGACCAGGACGTTTAGATAGAAAGGTAGAATTCGGATTACCGGACTTAGAAGGACGAACACATATTTTTAAAATTCATGCACGTTCAATGAGCGTAGAAAGAGACATCAGATTTGAACTTCTTGCACGCTTATGCCCTAATAGTACTGGAGCTGAAATTCGTTCTGTTTGTACAGAAGCTGGTATGTTTGCAATTCGTGCACGTCGTAAAGTAGCTACGGAAAAAGACTTTTTAGAAGCTGTAAACAAAGTAATTAAATCTTACGCTAAATTTTCTGCAACTCCTAAATATATGACTTATAATTAAAGAATTAATTCTTATTCTCAAATATTTATATGGTTACAATATTATATTGCTAATTATAACATACAAATTAATCATTATAATTTGATTATAAAGTACATAATAAATTGCAATTTGTTTTTTACTTAATATTGTACTTTCTTTATTTCCATATATTTTTTGTTTAAAATAATATTTTAGCTTATAATTTGTTTTTTTTTAAAGCAAGCGGAATTGTTATTTAAGATATCATGAAAACTAAATTTTAATAATGCATTTGGTTTGTTAATTAATAAAGATATCATTCCAAGATCATCTCCATGCCAAGAAATTTTAAGGCGTCGACATATCTATAAAAACAAAAAAAATATATTTATTATGATTATGATTAATATAATATAAAATATTTGCATATTTTTAATTTAATGTGAAAAAACATTTAAAAAAATTTAAAGTTTATGATAATAAAATTTTCATTACTTTCTATAATTTTTATATAATATTGTATGATAGTGTAATACTTTTCATTCTTAACTGAATTATGTTAGACAGAATAATATATTAATATTATAATATTAATATTATAATAAAATATAATTGAATTCATAATATATGTAATTATATTCCCAAAAATATTTAAAAATAGTTTCTATACAATTCTATGTAGAATTTAAAAAAAATTAAAGAAAAATATATTTTGAATTTGCAAATATATTCAGTGATTAACAAAATATATTCAATGATTAACAAAATAATAATAATAAATATTAAAGAAAAACAATAAATTCATTTAATAGAGAAATAAAAACTTATTAATAAAAAATAATTTTCAAAACAATTTAAAATATGTTACTCGTTAAAAAGAAATATATCTTTATATGATATAGTATAGATATATAATAGATGATACATCTTTTCAAATTTATAAACAATCCGAATATTTTTATAATAATATAAAATATATATAAAATAATATAAAAATTACTATTTCATTAAATGAAGTTAAATGAAGACAATAACAGAATGAAAATATTTGAAGAATTACGCATTCGAATATATCGTAATGCTGCTTACATCATATATTGATTCCATTTCATGAAGAAAATTGTAGAAATAATAATCATCATTTTAGATGTAATTTCTAAAATTGTAATATAATATATGTATATTTTTTATAAAAAAGAAAACTTTTATTGTTAAGTTTTTGTGTAAAATTCATATAATTTATTATTTCATATAAAATTATTTGAATATTTACATATGTTATATATTTCCTCTGTTATATATTTCATAAATAGCCAGTTTTGGAACAATAGTATATGTTATAGATATAGTAGATTAATAAAAATTTTTATAAGTTGCAAGAAAATTAAATTAAAATAAATTAAAATTAATCTAATTTATTTTTTAAAGAATAAAGAATTTTAATTAATTTTAAAGAAATATAATTTTTATACAATATTATTTTATATATTTTATATAATATTATATAAATCTATATTCAATAATTCTAAGTCTTATATATCTATAAGAATTAATGAAAGAAATATAAACTTACTCTTAGTAACAATATTTGCATATTTTGTTCTGCAAAACGTCTAGCAATACAAGATCTAGGTCCATGACCAAAAGGTAATAACACATATGGATGTACTGTTTTCTTATAATTTATTTTATTATTATTTTTTGAATGTTCACGCAACCATCTTTCTGGTATAAACAAATCTGGTTCTTCAAAGTATTCAGGTAGACGACAAATAATTTGATTTTGCGTTACAACAACACTCTATGAAAAATAAATTAAAAAATATATTAATTAACTAAAAAATTTGAAAAATGCAATAAAAAATTTTTTTAAATATATAGTATATGAGTAAAAAAATGATTTTAAATAAAGTTATATATAAAAATTTACATTTTAAAATATATTTATATTTATACTTAAAAATTTTTTAAATTAAAAATATAATATTTTATAATCGTCTTGTTCAATAAATGAATTCTACTTATATATTTATTTATATATCGATTATTTATATATCTTGTTGTATTGGTTAATTTATATATAATTTATAACTTACTCCTTTAGGTACTTTATAACCACTAAGAACAACATCAGTTTGTAATATACGACCTACTCCTATAGAGATAGGATTTAATCGTAAACTCTCCTTAATAACAGCTTTAGTATATGAAGCATTTCGTAAAACATTTATTGATATTGGCTCATTATGATTTTTCAATAATTGTGTGGCTTCGATTTTCAATTTCTCTTGAATATCTTGATTCTTTGCAAGATGGTACAAAATATAAGCTGTACTGTAACTAGTCTAAGAGAATAGAAAATTTATTTATTTTATTTAAGATTTATTGTAATAAGCAATCTATACTATTGATTTATTAACATAATTATATATAATATAATAGTATTAATTAATATTAATATTAAAAAAAATATTATACTTTAATGTATTATTAAATAAAATCTCATGTATGAGCTTAACTTATTATATAATATATTTATACAATATCTATTATATATATATCATATTTTAAATTTTATCTAATTAATTTAATCTATTAAATTATCTAATTAATTTAATCTATTAAATATAAATTATCTAACTAATTTAATTAATTCAATTTATCTATCATATTTTTATATAATTTATATAAATTTTATATAAAATATATGAATATTTTTTTTAAATTTATTTTTCTTCAAAATAAAAACAAGCACTTTTAATTTTAATTATCATTATATTAAATGATATGATAAATCTATTTAAATATTTCAATATTAATGACTTTAAATATTTTAGTAATATAAATAGAATTAATTTTTTTAAATTTTTTATTTAATTATTAATATATTATTAATAATTTAATATATATTATATTATACATAATATAATATATAATACTATATAATATATTATTAATAATTTAATTATAATTGTATATTAAATTATTATAGAAATTATGTCACAAATGTAAAAATAAAGTGCTTCTGTTTTATTTATTCAGTAATAAATGTTTTTTAAAAATGTATATGTTAATATTAATATTATTATATAATGATATATATTATGATATTTACAGTATCTATACCAGCAAGTAACATATCACAAGCCATGCCCACAATGTCCTTAATGTCCAGAATAGGATTTTCTAAATAAGCATCTAGAAATGATTTATTATATCGTATTTTCATATCGTTTTTTTTACGAGATACCAATTCTAATGCAATCCTAATAAATAAAAAATAAAAAAAAATACATATGTAAAATGTAAAATATAGCAATGAACAACAAATTAACATATACATGTATAAACATGGATATATAAAATTTTACAAAAAGAATTCTTTCTGAAGAAGAATATTATATATATTTTATAAAAATTTTTTTTTTTAATTTAAAAAATATTCAAAATACAACTTTAATGATTTCAAAACAAGATTATAAATATTCTATTAATCTATTATTCTATTAATAATATTAAATAATTATTTTTATAATTTATTTTAGTAATAATTTGATAGTTTTAATAAAATATCCAATTTTAATGTTTTTTTTATGATATTAATAACTTTAGGATTAATAATTGATTTTAAATAATTAAAATAATAAAATAAAATTAAACATTAATAAATAATAAAATAATAAAATTAAACATTAATTTTTTTAAGACATAAAATAAAGAATTTTATTGCTCACGTTTCCATATATGTTTGTGCCTTACGTAATTTTCTATATAATGGTGTTTCAAATAAACGCCATAATTGCAATCCATTATCTAACTTTAAAATTGCACTATTTGTTGCAAAGGCAGCTTCAATTAACTTTGAACTTGTAGAATTTTCACATCTTTCTTCTTTTGAAAAACTATTCAGTCTTATATCAAAAACAACCAAACATGTCACTAAAATCAAAAAGTTAAAGAAAATTTTTAAATAATTAGGATATATAAATAATAATTATTAAATAATATATAAATATTTTGTTTCTATTTGTCTAATAAAATGATGTTATTTACTATATATAATTTGAATTTACAAAAGAAGATATACTTTATCATTATTGTAAGAGTTATATTACATTCAAGAAATAAACGTGATAAAAGTGGTAAAAAATCTGCAAATTTTTCATTATTACATAACTCGACAAATTCCTGTACAACATAATCTGTTTCTTTTAAATAATTAATCACATCTTGAGGTTTACTAGAAACTTTTTGAAATTCTTTCCGCAATCTCCACCATTCTGATCCATTTCTGAAATTTATAAATTTATATTAATTATTATAATAATAAAGTTATGTTTTATATATATTTTAAGTATATTTTATAGTTATTATATAATTAAATTAATATATATAATATATAATATATAATAATATATAATANATATTTTTGTATATATTATTTTATATTTTATATATAAATATTTTAAAAACAATAACAAAAATTTTACAATAAAAGGTTATATGTATATAACCTTCTATAAGTTAATATATAGTTTTTACATTTTTATTTCCTCTAATTAAATAAAAATATATATAATATAATATAAAATTTTATATAAAAAGTTATTATTATCTCAATTATATGATATAGAATATTTCTTATTATATTTTATTCATAAAAATATTTGTATAATATATAATATATAAAAAAATTTTAAGAATTGAATCTCGATTGAATCATTATTATTATAATTTTAAAAATTGAATCATTGCTTAAAAATTAAGATATAAATAGTTAGTGTTTTTATTTTTATTTAATTATTTAATTTTATTTAATATTAATTAAGACATTTATAAATTAATAATATAACGATCATAAATATGTATGTGTAAATTTTACAAATATAGAATCATTATACATGATGAGTATAATGTATGCATCATGATACATTATATTAAACTGAACAATATAGTATACGTTATACGAAAAATATATATTATATATTAATAAATATAAAAATATGTATATTACGTGGGTAATAAACCTCCAGTATTGTATATATTTGGACGATCTTTTCGATATTTTAAAAGAGCTAAATGGCTTCTTCTTTCAGGGTGTAAACCAGATTCCGCTTTGAAAATTTCAGCTATATCTTCTGGTTTATAAATCCA